TTACAACTTCTTGACTGCTGCGACTACAAGCAAGCCTTTTTTGAGGCGCCTCAAAAATTGCCAAATGCTTATGCCACTATTTGCCACTCTCACTGTTACAACTGCTTGACTGCTGCGACTACAAGCAAGCCTTTTTTGAGGCGCCTCAAAAATTGCCAAATGCTTATGCCACTATTTGCCACTCTCACTGTTACAACTGCTTGACTGCTGCGACTACAAGCAAGCCTTTTTTGAGGCGCCTCAAAAATTGCCAAATGCTTATGCCACTATTTGCCACTCTCACTGTTACAACTGCTTGACTGCTGCGACTACAAGCAAGCCTTTTTTGAGGCGCCTCAAAAATTGCCAAATGCTTATGCCACTATTTGCCACTCTCACTGTTACAACTGCTTGACTGCTGCGACTACAAGCAAGCCTTTTTTGAGGCGCCTCAAAAATTGCCAAATGCTTATGCCACTATTTGCCACTCTCACTGTTACAACTGCTTGACTGCTGCGACTACAAGCAAGCCTTTTTTGAGGCGCCTCAAAAATTGCCAAATGCTTATGCCACTATTTGCCACTCTCACTGTTACAACTGCTTGACTGCTGCGACTACAAGCAAGCCTTTTATGAGGCGCCTCAAAAATTGCCAAATGCTTATGCCACTATTTGCCACTCTCACTGTTACAACTGCTTGACTGCTGCGACTACAAGCAGGCCTTTTTTGAGGCGCCTCAAAAATTGCCAAATGCTTATGCCACTATTTGCCACTCTCACTGTTACAACTTCTTGACTGCTGCGACTACAAGCAAGCCTTTTTTGAGGCGCCTCAAAAATTGCCAAATGCTTATGCCACTATTTGCCACTCTCACTGTTACAACTGCTTGACTGCTGCGACTACAAGCAAGCCTTTTTTGAGGCGCCTCAAAAATTGCCAAATGCTTATGCCACTATTTGCCACTCTCACTGTTACAACTGCTTGACTGCTGCGACTACAAGCAGGCCTTTTTTGAGGCGCCTCAAAAATTGCCAAATGCTTATGCCACTATTTGCCACTCTCACTGTTACAACTGCTTGACTGCTGCGACTACAAGCAGGCCTTTTTTGAGGCGCCTCAAAAATTGCCAAATGCTTATGCCACTATTTGCCACTCTCACTGTTACAACTGCTTGACTGCTGCGACTACAAGCAAGCCTTTTTTGAGGCGCCTCAAAAATTGCCAAATGCTTATGCCACTATTTGCCACTCTCACTGTTACAACTGCTTGACTGCTGCGACTACAAGCAGGCCTTTTTTGAGACGCCTCAAAAATTGCCAAATGCTTATGCCACTATTTGCCACTCTCACTGTTACAACTGCTTGACTGCTGCGACTACAAGCAGGCCTTTTTTGAGGCGCCTCAAAAATTGCCAAATGCTTATGCCACTATTTGCCACTCTCACTGTTACAACTGCTTGACTGCTGCGACTACAAGCAAGCCTTTTTTGAGGCGCCTCAAAAATTGCCAAATGCTTATGCCACTATTTGCCACTCTCACTGTTACAACTGCTTGACTGCTGCGACTACAAGCAAGCCTTTTTTGAGGCGCCTCAAAAATTGCCAAATGCTTATGCCACTATTTGCCACTCTCACTGTTACAACTGCTTGACTGCTGCGACTACAAGCAAGCCTTTTTTGAGGCGCCTCAAAAATTGCCAAATGCTTATGCCACTATTTGCCACTCTCACTGTTACAACTGCTTGACTGCTGCGACTACAAGCAGGCCTTTTTTGAGGCGCCTCAAAAATTGCCAAATGCTTATGCCACTATTTGCCACTCTCACTGTTACAACTGCTTGACTGCTGCGACTACAAGAAAGCCTTTTTTGAGGCGCCTCAAAAATTGCCAAATGCTTATGCCACTATTTGCCACTCTCACTGTTACAACTGCTTGACTGCTGCGACTACAAGCAAGCCTTTTTTGAGGTGCCTCAAAAATTGCCAAATGCTTATGCCACTATTTGCCACTCTCACTGTTACAACTGCTTGACTGCTGCGACTACAAGCAAGCCTTTTTTGAGGCGCCTCAAAAATTGCCAAATGCTTATGCCACTATTTGCCACTCTCACTGTTACAACTGCTTGACTGCTGCGACTACAAGCAGGCCTTTTTTGAGGCGCCTCAAAAATTGCCAAATGCTTATGCCACTATTTGCCACTCTCACTGTTACAACTGCTTGACTGCTGCGACTACAAGCAAGCCTTTTTTGAGGCGCCTCAAAAATTGCCAAATGCTTATGCCACTATTTGCCACTCTCACTGTTACAACTGCTTGACTGCTGCGACTACAAGCAAGCCTTTTTTGAGGCGCCTCAAAAATTGCCAAATGCTTATGCCACTATTTGCCACTCTCACTGTTACAACTGCTTGACTGCTGCGACTACAAGCAGGCCTTTTTTGAGGCGCCTCAAAAATTGCCAAATGCTTATGCCACTATTTGCCACTCTCACTGTTACAACTTCTTGACTGCTGCGACTACAAGCAAGCCTTTTTTGAGGCGCCTCAAAAATTGCCAAATGCTTATGCCACTATTTGCCACTCTCACTGTTACAACTGCTTGACTGCTGCGACTACAAGCAAGCCTTTTTTCAGGCGCCTCAAAAATTGCCAAATGCTTATGCCACTATTTGCCACTCTCACTGTTACAACTGCTTGACTGCTGCGACTACAAGCAAGCCTTTTTTGAGGCGCCTCAAAAATTGCCAAATGCTTATGCCACTATTTGCCACTCTCACTGTTACAACTGCTTGACTGCTGCGACTACAAGCAAGCCTTTTATGAGGCGCCTCAAAAATTGCCAAATGCTTATGCCACTATTTGCCACTCTCACTGTTACAACTGCTTGACTGCTGCGACTACAAGCAAGCCTTTTTTGAGGCGCCTCAAAAATTGCCAAATGCTTATGCCACTATTTGCCACTCTCACTGTTACAACTGCTTGACTGCTGCGACTACAAGCAGGCCTTTTTTGAGGCGCCTCAAAAATTGCCAAATGCTTATGCCACTATTTGCCACTCTCACTGTTACAACTTCTTGACTGCTGCGACTACAAGCAAGCCTTTTTTGAGGCGCCTCAAAAATTGCCAAATGCTTATGCCACTATTTGCCACTCTCACTGTTACAACTGCTTGACTGCTGCGACTACAAGCAGGCCTTTTTTGAGGCGCCTCAAAAATTGCCAAATGCTTATGCCACTATTTGCCACTCTCACTGTTACAACTTCTTGACTGCTGCGACTACAAGCAAGCCTTTTTTGAGGCGCCTCAAAAATTGCCAAATGCTTATGCCACTATTTGCCACTCTCACTGTTACAACTGCTTGACTGCTGCGACTACAAGCAAGCCTTTTTTGAGGCGCCTCAAAAATTGCCAAATGCTTATGCCACTATTTGCCACTCTCACTGTTACAACTGCTTGACTGCTGCGACTACAAGCAAGCCTTTTTTGAGGCGCCTCAAAAATTGCCAAATGCTTATGCCACTATTTGCCACTCTCACTGTTACAACTGCTTGACTGCTGCGACTACAAGCAAGCCTTTTTTCAGGCGCCTCAAAAATTGCCAAATGCTTATGCCACTATTTGCCACTCTCACTGTTACAACTGCTTGACTGCTGCGACTACAAGCAAGCCTTTTTTGAGGCGCCTCAAAAATTGCCAAATGCTTATGCCACTATTTGCCACTCTCACTGTTACAACTGCTTGACTGCTGCGACTACAAGCAAGCCTTTTATGAGGCGCCTCAAAAATTGCCAAATGCTTATGCCACTATTTGCCACTCTCACTGTTACAACTGCTTGACTGCTGCGACTACAAGCAGGCCTTTTTTGAGACGCCTCAAAAATTGCCAAATGCTTATGCCACTATTTGCCACTCTCACTGTTACAACTGCTTGACTGCTGCGACTACAAGCAAGCCTTTTTTCAGGCGCCTCAAAAATTGCCAAATGCTTATGCCACTATTTGCCACTCTCACTGTTACAACTGCTTGACTGCTGCGACTACAAGCAAGCCTTTTTTGAGGCGCCTCAAAAATTGCCAAATGCTTATGCCACTATTTGCCACTCTCACTGTTACAACTGCTTGACTGCTGCGACTACAAGCAAGCCTTTTTTGAGGCGCCTAAAAAATTGCCAAATGCTTATGCCACTATTTGCCACTCTCACTGTTACAACTGCTTGACTGCTGCGACTACAAGCAAGCCTTTTTTGAGGCGCCTCAAAAATTGCCAAATGCTTATGCCACTATTTGCCACTCTCACTGTTACAACTTCTTGACTGCTGCGACTACAAGCAAGCCTTTTTTGAGGCGCCTCAAAAATTGCCAAATGCTTATGCCACTATTTGCCACTCTCACTGTTACAACTTCTTGACTGCTGCGACTACAAGCAAGCCTTTTTTGAGGCGCCTCAAAAATTGCCAAATGCTTATGCCACTATTTGCCACTCTCACTGTTACAACTGCTTGACTGCTGCGACTACAAGCAAGCCTTTTTTGAGGCGCCTCAAAAATTGCCAAATGCTTATGCCACTATTTGCCACTCTCACTGTTACAACTTCTTGACTGCTGCGACTACAAGCAAGGCCCCACCTCAACTTTACCTCTCCCATCACCACCCCTCTGTCTTCCCCTCCCTCACTAGGTACCATCCCGTTAAATGCTTCTGCCAGCATCGATTGGCTCTTACTGCCACTTGACTGTGCCGCCCAGGCTGCTCCCACCAACTTTCAACTGGGCGGCAGTCTTCAGTACACACTGCGAGACCCGTCAGCATCTGTGACACCAACGCCATCACTTTCTGCTGCTGCTGGAGACACATCAGCGCCACCACCATCATCGCCACCAGCATCAGCACCTGCAACAGCACCTGCAACAGCAGCACCAGCACCAGCAGAGGCAGTGCCAGCAGCCGCAGTGGTGAAGCAGATGGACCTGACGACTGTGCGAGTGACGGTGGCACCTCCTCCCAAGCTGCAAGTGCATTACTTTATGCCCTGGCACGTGCAAGGAGACGACCCCACCACTCCTCAGGTGAGCATAGGGAGAGTGGGCATCGGACAGTGGGCGAGTGGGAAAACTGGCAAGGCTGTTTCTGGTGTCAAGGACATCGTCAATGACTTGTGTGCCTCTCTTTTGTTTTCTATCCCTCTTTCTGTTTCTCTCTCATAAAAGGTGGAGGCACCGGTGCCAGTCACGCTTGCAGCACTCTTTTACAACGCCGGCCACGGCACAGCTGCTGCTGTCGCCACACAGTCACTGCTGCCCACCGCTGGCACCACCACCACCATTGCTGCCGGCACCATCACCACTGGTGGGACTATTCTTGCTGACGTGGGCGCTACAACCACAAGTAACGGCGGGACCACAACGGGTGACACGAGCAGCGCCGCCATGAGCTTCAGCATCACCAGCACTGTGCTGGGCACTGAGCCGCAGCCAGCATCATTCTCCGTGAAGGTGCGTGCCTGCGTAGATGTGGACATGCTGCTGACGTGGACATGCTAACGTGGACATGCTGACGTGGACATGCTAACGTGGACATGCTGATGTGGACGTGCACGCAAACATGCACACACACACGCGCGCGCGCACACACACACACAAACACACACACACACACACACACACACACACACACACACACATGCGTGCGCGCGTGCACACACTCACCAGTTGCTTATTCCTATCCTGACCCACCCCTTCATCTCGGCCCATCCCCCCTCTCCCTTCCCTCTTCCCCCTCCTCCCCTCCTTCTCGCCCCCAGGTGGGAAGCATCCCTCCTGCCGCTACAGCTATGGTGCGCTGGACCATAGAGGCCAGCCTTACAGGCACATTCGATACAGTCACCACCACCAACACCACCACCACCACCTCCTCCTCCCCTCTCACCGGCCTCTCCCCCATTCTCGAGTCGGGTGACATTCACAACCTCGTGCATGACGTCTACCTGCCCGACGCTGCTTCAGGTAAACTCCCTCCCTCAGGTAAACCCTCCGCCTCAGGTAAGCCCTCCCCCTCAGCTAAGCCTTCTCGAGTCGGTTCACATTCACAACCTCGTGCACGTCGTTTATCTTCGTGACGCCCCTTCAGGTAAGCCCTTCCTCAGAAATAACATCCCATGAGGCAAGCCTTCTCGAGTCGGTTGACATTCACAAACTCGTGCATGTTGTCTATCTGCCTGACGCCTCTTGAGGTTAACCCCACTTCTTGAGTCTGTCAATATCCAATCCCATCCCATCCCATCCCATCCCATCCCATCCCATCCCATCCCATCCCATCCCATCCCATCCCATCCCATCCCATCCCATCCCACCCATCTCCCTGTTCCCTGTTGACGGGCTGCCGGGTCTCCTGGTGGACGATGATGGGGGCGAGCAGGCTTTAAACCCATGTCATGTTCCCACCATCCTCCCCTGTGTTTTGAGTCGACTCAAAACACGACTCTCCCCACCATCCTCCAACATTGCTGTCCTCATTGTTCCTTACACACTCTTTCTCGTCCTACAGACGATGGTCTGCCGGATTTCCTGGTGGACAATGATGGGGGCGAGCAGGGTGTGAACTGAACCAGTGTCATATCCCTTCCCACCCATCCCCACCCATCCCTACCCATCCCCATCCATCCCATCCACTGTTCCACTGCTTAAACCATCCGTTCCTACAGATGTCGGCTTGCCGGATTTCCCGGTGGATGACGATGGCGAAGAGCAGGGCCAGCCGGAGGCCATCCACTCCACAGCAGCGCTGGTAACCAATGACATTCCCCCACCCATCCCCTATCTACCTCCAGATGATGGAGAGGGCCAGCCGGAGGCAATCTACAGCAGTGCTGGTAACCGCTGCCATTCCCCCGCCCATCCAACCAATCCCATCCCACCCATCCCCTATCTACCTGCAGACGACGGGCTGCCGGGTTTCCTGGTGGACGACGATGAGAATGAGCAGGGCACGAACCAACATCAACCCCCGCCCAATCCCACGCCCATCCCATCTCATCCCACCCACCTCCCTGCTCACTCAGACGACAGGTTGCCGGATTTCCTGGTGGATGACGATGGGGACGAGCAGGGTCTGAACTAGTGTCTTACCTCCTCCCCCATCGCACCCATTCCATCCCACCCCTGCAGACGACGGCTTGCCGGATTTCCTGGTGGACGATGACGGGGACGAGCAGCCGGAGGCCATCTACAGCAGCGCTGGTAACCGCGTGCTGCCCGTAACCGCCGTGCCTTCCGCTGCTCTCACGCCTGGCCGCCCGCTCTTCACTAGCGAGACCCGCGCCAAGCTCACTGTGGCTGTGAACTGGTGAGTGAAGGAGTGGAGTGTTGTGTGGCTGTCACCTCCCAACAGTGAGTGTTTCTCTCAACAGTGCAGCATTTCTCTCACGCTCGGCCGCCCGCTCTTCACTAGCGAAACCCGCGCCAAGCTCTCTGTTGCTGTGAACTGGTGAGTGAAGAAATGAAGTGAAGATTGCAAAACATGAGCGATCGCTGCCACGCATATTCTGCTTTACTATTTTTCTCCTGATTTATTAGGTCTATAGCACCATGTATCCAATTAGCTGTGATGCTGGTCAGTGGACATGTTTTGTCTTCATAGAAGTGGACGTACACTACCTGTCATGAGAAGATGTTCATCGCATGACAGGCGGTTTTCCATTACCACCTGTCATGCGATGATCATCTTCTCATCCATCACACCTGCCTTCTCACCTCCATTCCTTTTCCTTTTCGGGCAGGTCTGCCCTCCCTCTACCGGCAGCAACACCAGCCGCAGCGGCAGCAGGGGGGTGGGCGCACATGTCCTTTGCATCGCAGCTGCCGTCGCACTGCTGGAATCTCACCGCTGCTCTCCGATCCAACGGCACTCAGCTGCCCGTGCCCTTCAACGCCTGGTCCTCCTTCTCCTCCTCCCCCGCTGCTCCCACTAGCACCGCTGCTGCCCCTCCCCCTGCCACTTCAACCACCACTGCCCCTGCTTCTTCCCCACCTGCCACTTCCCCTCCTGCTTTGCCTGCTGCTGACACCACTCACATTCTCGATTTTGTCTCCTCCCCCTCTTACACTCTCTTCTTCTCCTACTATGATCAGACCCTCTCCTTCCCCCACCTCTCCCCTTGTCTCCAGGCTGTCATGCCTCCCCCTCCCTCCCCCCCCAACCCTCCCCCTTCCCCTCCCCCTCGCCCACCCCCCCGCCCCCCTCCAAACCCCCCAAGGCCTCCCCCGAACCCCTCTCCTCCCCCCCGCCCCCCCCCAAGCCCCCCCAGGCCCCCATCTCCCCCCTCACGACCTCCGCCGAATCCCCCCAAGCCTCTCCCTCCGCCTTCCCCTCCCCCACGCCCTCCCCCTCGCCCTCCTTCCCCCCCTCCCAAGACTTCAACCAGTGGTAAGCCCCCTCCCTCCCCTCCCCCTAAGCCTCCGCCCTCCCCTCCCCTTAGGCCTCTGCCCTCCCCTCCCCCTAAGCCTCCACCCTCCCCTCCCCCTAGACCACCCCCAAGCCCCCCACCACTGAAATCACTCACAAGTTCTCCCCCACCAAGACCCCCTCCCTCCCCTCCCCCCAAACCTCCTCCCTCTCCTCCCCCCAAACCTCCTCCATCTCCTCCTCCCAAACCACCTCCCATACCTCTGAAACCCCCTCCCAGCCCACCTCCTAGAAAGCCCAGCCCCCCACCACCGAAACCACCCCCTCCCAGGCCCCCACCACCCAAACGCAAGTACCCACCTCCTCCCAGGAAGCGATGGGGCTTTCTCTTCCCCCAGTGGGCCTGAAATGGTTGGATGGAAACTGTCGGGCACCCAACCCAACCAAAACCATCTCCCACTCCCCCACCTCCTAGAAAGCCCAGCCCCCCACCACCGAAACCCCCCCTCCTCCCAGGCCCCCACCACCCAAGCGCCGGTACCCACCACCACCTCCCAAAAAGCGATGGCGCTTCTTTGTTCCCCAATGGACCTAAAAATGCAGGGCGGAAACTGTCCCACCCAACCCAACCAAAACCATCTCCCACTCCCCCGCCTCCTAGAAAGCCCAGCCCCCACCACCGAAACCCCCCTCTCATCTCCCCAGGGAAAAATCCAGACCAGTAACAAAATCTTCCCGTGTTGTGGCGTTGGAAAAGAGATGGGTTGTTGTGTCCTCTCTTGTGGTGTACTATGTACTATGGCTAAGAAAACTTTCCTACAATACTTACCGTATCACCTATGCAGTTAATCTCAACTTTAACAAAAAGGTTTATTATGGTACCTTACCGTAATTGTGCCAAACCACACACGGTACGCTTGCAATCGCCGTGAATGCAAAGGCAAGGCAAAGTTCACTACACTACACACTCTGCACTGAACAACCAACAATCAAATTCCAGCCCACACTATTAGAATCTTACGGGAAAGTTGGGTGTCGACTATCGAGGGGAAAGATACAAAGTAGAAACCTAAGGGGTTGTACCCCACAGTGAGTACCCCACTAAGCCTAACCAAAGTATAACAAATATACACATATGTTTGACACACCCCCATAGGCAAAGTGGGGGAGAACAGAGGGTCACAAGACCAGTCAGGAAGTGCAAAGCAAGCTCAGGGTGGATCACAACGTCACCACGCAGTCTGAGCACAAGCAAGAAGGCCACAAGGCCAGTTCACATGCAGAAATATATATGTAACAACAACAGTACAGTGATATCTACCTACAAGAACAAGCATGCTGGAATACATATAAATCATGGTACAAGCAAAGCCTACAGCAAGTGAGGAAGAGTGGGCACAAGGCCTAACAAAGTGCAGAAACGCTGATGATCACCAGGCGGAAGCGCCTTGGTGAATATATCAGCAGTGTTGGCCCGAGTGGCCACGTAGGTAAGACGAAGCTGGCCACGCTGCTGCAGCTCTCGAGCAAGAAAGTAACGGAGAGCGATGTGCTTTGTTCTGTGCTCCAGTCTGTGCTCCTGACACAAGGCAATGGCGGCCTTGTTGTCGACGTACAGAACTGGAGGAGAACGAGGCCTCTCTCCCAAGTCGGTCAGCAGGTAGGTGAGCCAGCGCAGCTCCTGTGCAGCCATGGCTGTGGCGTAGATCTCTGCCTCACAGCTGGAGCCGAGAACTGAAGACGAACGTGTAGAACGCCAGGAAACTGAACCAGAACCAAGGCTGAAGGTGTAACCCTGTGACGACCGCTGCGTAGCCTGGTCGTCAACCCAAGAGGCGTCCGAGTGACCTGTGAGGACAACGTCACCCCGTCCTCCAAGCACGAGCCCCATGCCCGATGTACTGCACAAGTAGCGTAGTACCCTCTTGGCAGCATCCATGTGCACCTTTCGGTGCCGACCAGGAGCCACGTAGCGAGCCAGAAGGCCAAGAGGGTACGCAAGGTCAGGACGAGTGCAAGTCATCAGGTACATGAGGCAGCCCACTAACTCTGGGTAAGGACCACTCGGCTCTACGGACTCGTCCGAAGGTGGAGCTGAGAGCGAGTGACCTGTAGCCAGAGGAGTGGCCTGTGCTGAGGACCAGGTGAAACCGAAGCGCTGAAGGACCTGCTGCACCATGTGTGACTGAGTCAGTGTGATGGTGCGGCGTGCTCTGTCCCGGGTGATCTGCAAGCCAAGGTAGCTGCGCAGTTCACCCAGGTCTGTGCACGTGTGTCTCTTCTGCAGCTCCGACTTCACCAGGGCGAGAGCCTCAGTGTCAGCAGTGGCAAAGACCAAGTCGTCGACGTACACGAGAACGTAGAACGGCGGCAGAGAAGTGTTGGTGCGCACAAACAGCGACGGGTCAGCAGTCGACGGAGCAAACCCAAGAGCCGCAAGTGTCGTCCTCAGTGTGTCGTGCCACTCACGTGGCGCCTGGCGGAGACCGTAGACCGGCCGCCGGAGGCTCCACTGGGTACCAGGAGGGAACGACCCAGTGAAGCCAGGAGGGCGGCGCAGCCAAATCTCCTCGTGCAGGCTGCCCTGTAAGAAGGCTGTGCTGAAGTCAAGAGAGTGAAGCTCGTAGTCACGCTGAGCGGCAACGTGCAGCAGCACCCGAAGAGTGGTCATCTTCGGGGTGGGGGAGAAGGTCTGGAAGAAGTCAACTCCCTCTCGCTGACTGAAGCCTCGAGCCACGTACCGAGCCTTGAAGACAGGCGGAGAACCTGGCGGCCGCTTCACCCTGAAAATCCACATGCCACTGACAATGTTCGCCCCAGGAGGGGGAACCTCGTCGACGTAGGTGCCTGTGGACTTCCAGGATGCCATCTCTGCGTCCATGGCTGTCTGCCACTGAGAGGAGTACTCACCCGCAATCGCCTCAGCGTAAGAGCGCGGGGTAGGGATGTCTAGTGCATCCGGGTCTCCCTCAGGGGCAAGTAGCATGGATACGAGATGAGGCGCAGCGGCTGCAAGACACTCAAGGTCCTCCTGCCTGTCCTCAAGGACGTCCGTGCCAAGAGCACACTCACCCCCGACGGACGGAGGACAGACAGACTCAGACTCAGCAACAAGACTGGCGGCGTAGTCGAGACGACAGGCAGCAGCAAAGTCAACAAGCTCAGCGACTAAGGCAGACGCAGCAGCAGACTCAAACGACGGGTCAGTGACAACAGTGGCAAGCAGACGCGTGACAGTAGAGTGCTCAACACGAAACTGGTCAGACGCAGGGTCAGCAACGATAGTCAGAGAGGACGCAGGGGGAGACGGCAGAGGAACACGCAGCGGAGGAGAGGAAGGACGACGAACTACAAGGTGAGAGCCGGAGACAGCCGGCTGCCGCTGACGAGGAACACGGCGACCGGAACGACCAGTACGGACAGGTGAGACAGGACGCGACGCAGGCTCACGACGCTCGGCAAGGCCCCTAGTCTGCTCTGTGTACGGAGAAGGAGCAGGCAGCGGTGAGCCAGGCTGTAACGGAAGACCAGTAGACGAGGGAAGACTGAGAACCTGGCGAAGTGCAGAGTCAGGTGGTGGCTGAGACGACGGAGACGGCGGAGCGAAGAACAGGCGCTGCTGAGCAGTGCCACCAGCACCAGCAGCTCCAGCACCTCCAGCAGCTCCAGCAGCTCCAGCAGCTCCAGCACCGCCAGTAGCTCCAGGACCCTCAGCAGGTCCAGCACCTCCAGCAGCTCCAGTACCCTCAGCAGCTCCAGCACCGCAAGTAGCTCCAGTACCCTCAGCAGCTCCAGCACCGCCAGCACCTCCAGCAGCTCCAGTACCTCCAGCAGCTCCAGCACCCTCTGCAGCGCCAGTACCCTCAGTCACAACACCGCCAGCCCCAGCAGCTCCAGTACCCTCAGTACGAGCACCTCCGGGACCAGCGACACCAGCAGAAGAACCCCCAGCAGTAGAGCCCTGAGGTGCAGAAGCGCGGCGCTGACGGCGCCCGTACCAGTCGTGCAGCTGCTGGGAGGTGAGGGGCACACGCGGACGAAGACGGCTACTCCAAGGAGACCGCGGAAAAGCAGTCGCAGAACCCTCAGGCGACTCACTCCCAGACTCAGCACCCCCAGGCTCCGCACACGCAGGCTCAGCACCCCCAGACGCAGCACCTCCAGACGCAGCACCCCCAGGCTCCTCACGCTCAGCGCCCCCAGACTCAGCACCCCCAAGCTCCGCACCCCCAGGGACAGCACCACTCGCAGCAGGACCGGAGTCACCAGTGACCTCAACAGGTGCAGGCGCGGGGGGGTCTACCTGAGAGACACCTGAAGGAGCAGGACCTGGCGCGGAGAGGGGGTCTACCTGGGGAGGACCTGGGGCGAGAAAGAGCGGCGGGGGGGGGGGGCGAGGAGCAGTGCGGTAGGGGAAGAGGCGGTAAAAGGGGACGGACTCGTCAAAGGTGACGTCCTGAGACGCAAAGACACGGCGCGAGGCGGGGTCGTAAAACTGCCAGCCAGGTGCGTCAGTGACAAAGCCAAGGAAGACGCAAGGAATGGCGCGAGGGGAGAGCTTGTCCGCGGTGGTATCGCGGACAAAGGCACGAGCACCCCAGACCCGGAAACGCGACGCGTCGCCAACCTTCCCCGTCCACAGCAGTGTGGGCGAGGTCTCCGGCAAGGAGACACGGGGCCAAAGGTTGAGCTGATGCGCGGCGTACCGGACCGCAAACGGCCACAGAAAATGGGGGGCAGCCGCATGGATCATGGAGGTACGAGCGACCTCCATGACTAAGCCAATGCGGCGCTCAGCAACCCCATTGTGCTGAGGAGAGGCCGGAAGCGTGAAAGTCTGGCGGATGCTGTGCTCCGCACAGAAGGCTGCCAAGAGGTCTGAGGAGAACTCACCACCTCTGTCAGAGTGCAGACGCAGGACAGGAAAGTCCGACTGGAACCGCTCGCGGAGCTGGAGACGAGTAGCGCGGATCCAGGGGATCAAAACATCAGGGACATCCCCCTTGCGCTGCAAGGGGAAGACCGTGGTGTAGCGCGTATAGTCGTCGACAACCAGCAGGAAGTACCGCTCGTGGCCCTGTCCACGGACGCGGGCTGGGCCCCACACGTCCAGGTGGAGAGTCTGCAGTGGAGCCTCTGTGGGAGGGAAAGAGGAGGAGTGAGGAGCGGCGCGCTGCCGCCCCTCGACGCAGGGAATGCAGGGCGGCGCAGGCGAGGGAGGGAGGGGAGGCAGAGACCTGGGAAGCCCAGAAACCAGGAGGCGGGAGTGCATGCTGCGTAGGCGAGGCAGGGAGGGGTGACCAAGGCGGTGGTGCCACAGGAGAGTGTCGTGCGACAGCCGGCGACACTCACACCGTGTAGCTACCTGAGCAGACGCGTGCAACTGGGGAGACAAAGGGGCGGAGTGTGACGCAGTGGTGAGGGTGTACAGACTGGACCCCGGCGCACGAGCGAACGTGGCCAGGTGGCGACCAGTCTGGGAGCACGTGCAAATCGCCACACGCTGCCGGCCAGGGTGAAGGTGTCAACCCCCGCATCCTGGAGGACAGCGTTACTCACCAAGTTCGTAGAGAACGAGGGGAGGTGGAGACCAGACAGCTCACCAGACGGGACCGCCGGACACGGAAGCACAGTGGAAGACCGTGCAAGCACTGGGCCCCCAGAGGGGTCAGCCAGTGAGACAGGAACAGGTGCAGGGAGGGGAGTGACTGTGGTACTGTCGCGAAAGAAACAGCGGGAAGCACCAGAGTCAAGTGTAAAGGTGTGCAAAGCCTGTGCAGGCGCAGTACCAAGGGGAGCAGACTCACAAGCACCTAGTGCTGCAGGGGCTATACCAGGGGTTATACCAGGATCCGGCGGCACACACAAGTAGCAGTCACCCTCAGCACTAACAGACAAGGCATACATAGCAGCAAGAATTGCCTCATAGTCAAGATCAAAGATAGGTACATTACGCCTAAGTAAGTCTGCCCAGTTGGGGAACTCAGTAGCATCAGGAAACTTGGCGCGCCAGGCGTCGCTAAGCCGAGCGAAGCAGCGCTGCTCAGTGTGAAAACCTGTGCACTGGTGACCAGCGCGGGGACCTGTGCGGATGATATAGGGGCAGCGACCAGGACCCCCAGAAGCCCCACGCCCGGCATACCAGTCAAGAAGCTGCTGGGAAGTGGGGGTCTGGCGCTGACGCTGATGCTGCTGCTGCTGCTGCGGCTGCTGCTGCTGCTGCGGCTGCTGCTGGCCCTGACCACCACTGCCACCACTGCTCCCTCCTCTCCCACCTCTGCTGCTGCCGCCTCCACCGCTCCCAGTGCCTTCGCCGCCCCCACCACCACCTCCACCGCCTCCACCCCCACGATCACCCCCACCACCGCCTCCACCTCCACCACCTCCACCACCTCCACCCCCACCGCCCCTGCCACCCCTGCCGCCCCTGCCGCTGCGACGCTTCCCACTGGGAGCGGAAGCAGCTCCGGCCCCCTCAGCACCAAGGTAGTCGTGAGCAGCAGCTGCGGAGGCGTAGGAGGGGGTGAGAGGGGAGGGGGAGCACCCCTCAAAGAGGGGAGAGCGAGGAGTGCCACGAGCAGCACCTACAGCGAGGATGTTCTTCTCTGCTGCGAGGAGGTGCTTCTCGAAGTCGTCTACAGTGAGAGTGGTGGGGTCTAGCGCTAGGAAGTGGTCCCTGACAGATCTAAGAGTGTCAGGGAGGCGGGTAACGAGGAAATAGAGAGTGAAGTACATCGGGGGGGGGGGGGGGGGGGGGGGTTTGCGGCGCAGAACTCGGCTGAAAGGGCGGCACGAAAGCGAGAGTCAGTAGCGCGCAGGTGAGAAACTAGGTCCTCAGCAGTGGTGAACGAGGAAAGATTGGGGAACAGGTACGGTAGCATGAGTCGACCAATGGCTGCAGTGGCCGGGGAGGAGTAGCGCGCAACTACAGCGTCGTACAGTGTCTGAGCAGTTCTGTGCTGGCTGAAATGCGCTCGCTCAGTAATCGGCAGGTGGTTCCTAATAGCTAGGCGTGCAGCAGCATCACGAGTCTGCCACTGGGAGCGTTCTAGAGCAGGAGCATCAGCAGCAGGAGCAACGGCAGTGCCAGAGACGTAATCAAACAGGGAAACGCCATCTTTGGCATCAGTCAGAAGGAACAGCTGGAGATCGTCTAACCATACAGTGAACTCGATGGGACGACCGTCAGGCCCGAACGCTAGAACATTAGGCGTCGCCATATTGGCTTAAGGCAGGAGGCAGCAGGCAGCAGGCAGCAGGCAGAGGCAGCAGGCACCAAGTAGGAGGCAGGAGGCAGAGGCAGGAGGCAGGGGCAGCAAGCAGCAGGCAGGCAGCAGGCAAGCTGCAGGCAGGCGGCAGCAGGCAGCAAGCAGGCAGGCAGGCAGGCGGCAGGCAGGCGGCAGCAGGCAGCAAGCAGGCAGGCGGGAGCAGGCAGCAAGTAGCAAGCAGGCAGCAGGCAGGCAGCAGGCAGGTTGCAGGCAGGCGGCAGTAGGCAGCAAGCAGGCAGGCAGGTTGTAGGCAGCAAGCAGCAGGCAGGCAGCAGACAGGCAGCAGGCAGGCTGCAGGCAGGCGGCAGCAGGCAGCAAGCAGCAGGCAGGCGGCAGGTAGGAGCTGCAGGCAGCAGGCAGCAGGCAGGCGGCAGGCAGCAGGCAGCAGGCAGGAGCGGCCTGAGGGCTGCGTGTGGCGGCTTGCTGCACGAGGCTGCAGGCTGCGCGTGGCTACGGGCAGCGCGCGCGGCCGCAGGCTACGTGCGGCGACGGACTGCGCGAGCTGCGGGCTGCTTGCACCTGCGGGCTGTGCGTGGCTACAGCGTGCGCGGCTGCATTCTACATGCGGCTTCGGGCTGCGCGAGGCTACGGGCCGCACGTGCGCGGCTGCGGGCTGGTCGCTAAGCTACGGGCTACGCTGGGCGACGGGCCGCTCTGGCGTGGCCTAATCAGGTTTCGCACGGGCGGCTTAAGGGGCGCACAGGCGGGGGCGAAACGGGCTACGCGGGCTGCTGAGACGGCGCACGTGGGAAAAAAAAAAGGACCGCCCGAGGCGCGCGCGGGCAGCCGAGGCGCGCGTAGGCACTAGGCAAGACAGGCAATCGTAGTGGGCCCTAATCGTAGGTCCTAAGGACCTATGCTCTATACCATGTTAGAATCTTACGGGAAAGTTGGGTGTCGACTATCGAGGGGAAAGATACAAAGTAGAAACCTAAGGGGTTGTACCCCACAATGAGTACCCCACTAAGCCTAACCAAACTATAACAAATATACACATATGTTTGACACACACAACCCACAAGTTAAAGCCCTAGAATGCTCCAATACGCCACCTTCATCCTTCCATGTTCCCACAAATGATTTTGGATATTTCTCATAAGTGGCTCCATAACTTACAACCGTTCCAGCCCAAGCTGGAACCACACGGGCAGCCAGCCACCCTTCTCTCTCCATGCTACCCCTCCTCTATACAGCTTCTCCTTCAAGAGAGCTGGACGCTGGCTGGAATGGAATCACACCAACCAACTGTCCAGTCCACCTCAATCTACGGTAGTCCTCATCACACCACCATAGCTGTTGTCCCATCCTTCAACTGCCTCTTCCACATGGTTCCCCACCCTCATACGTCCATTCCAGCGAAAAGAACTGGAATCACATTACCTGCACATCAATCTAGTCATCACCATCATTGTTGTTGTCCCCGCGTCCTCCCTTTCTCCCTCCCTCCCTGCCTGCCTGCACCACTCCCATGCCTGCCTGCACCACTCCCAACCCTGCCTGCACCACTCCCTGCCTGCCGCACCACTCCCCTCCGATACAGATTGTCCCGAACAACCAACTCTACACAACAGATTGCAATCTACATCTACTCTACAGATATTGCAGTTTTCTACTCCAGTTCTTATGGCACATGTGTAAAGAACCTCACTTTGTTGAGAATGACACACTAGAAAAGAGAGCATTTTCGACCAACATAAGCGGTAGCCTAGTTGCGCAAGCACAGTCTAGCCTACACAACACAAGCAAACCAGCCCACCGTTCCTAGAGAGAGACAGAGAAAAGAAGAAGAAGAAGAAGAAGAAGAAGAAGAAGAAGAAGAAGAAGAAGAAGAAGAAGAAGAAGAAGAAGAAGAAGAAGAAGAAGAAGAAGAAGAAGAAGAAGAAGAAGAAGAAGAAGAAGAAGAAGAAGAAGAAGTAGAAGAAGAAGAAGAAGAAGAAGAAGAAGAAGAAGAAGAAGAAGAAGAAGAAGAAGAAGAAGAAGAAGAAGAAGAAGAAGAAGAAGAAGAAGAAGAAGAAGAAGAAGAAGAAGAAGAAGAAGAAGAAAAACACACACACACACACACACACACACACACACACACACACACACACACACACACACACAACACATGGAAAAACAAGCAATGCCTCTGAACTGCACCACCACCGTCTCTGGTACGGTGGTTCTATTCTCCAAGGTCTCCCGCACCACGGAGCCATACCTGCAAGACCCTTGGAATCACTCCTGCAAGACGCTTGGAATCACTCCTGCAAGACCCTGGGAATCACTCCTGCAAGACCCTTGGAATCACTCCTGCAAGACTCTTGGAAATTGAAATCACTCCAATGAACGCCAATGCAATCTAGTCATCACCATCATCATCATTGTTCCCGCGTCCTCCCTTCCTCCCTCCCTGCCTGCCCGCACCACTCCTATTGCAGTTTCCAGACCCAGACCCACTTCCGTTGCAGTTCCTACCTCACCCACCGCTCCCCCTCATCCCCGCGCCAGGCCCCTTCCCCGTGCCTACGCCTATGCGTCCAGCCGCTCCGTGCCGCCCGCCACCTCCGCTCATGCCGCCCGCTCCACCCGCTCCGCTTGCGCCACGTCCGCGGCCCTGCTGTTGCCCCGACCCCTGCCGACTAGCACCGCTGCCGCTGCCATTGCTAGTGCAGCCGCCAGATCGCAAGCAGGGGGAGGAACCAGAGGAGCCGGAGCCGTCACGCTTGCGGTCGCGGTCGCGGTCCTGGTCGCCAGAGCTGTCCCTCTTGCGATCCCTCTCCCGGTTCTCCGCCACCACGTACCCCGCGCTCTGAATGCCACCGCTCTGCATGCTCGCCGCATTCACCCTCGCTGCCGCCGGGTCTCTCCCCAACCCTCCGCCTCCGCCTCCGCCATTGCACGAGCCGGACCTGCTGCCGCTGCAGTTTCCGCTGCCCTTCTTGCCCTGTCGCACCTTCCCCGCGCTGTTGCTGCCGCCCAGCCGGCTGCCGCGACCCGCACCTGCGCCAGCGCCACTCCCCGCTCGTCCCGCTCCGCCTCCGCGCCCGCCTGCGCCACTTCCGCCCGCGCCGCCGCCTCTCTGCCGGCCGGCGCCAGCATTCTGTCGTCCGCCGGCACAGCCGCAGGATTTGCTGCAGGAGCCGTCGCGGTCCCTGTCGCGATCCTGGTCGCGGTCGCCCGAGCCGTCCCGCTTGCGATCGCGATTTGGACGGTCGTCGTCGTCGTCGTCTGCGACAGCGAAGGTCGTCAGATTGACAACGAAGAGCAGGAGGATCCCGAGGGCGAGAAGCTTCGACGAAGTCATCGATACTATTGTTAGAGGGTCCTACAACAGCAAGGGCCCTCGCGAAGCGTTTGACTTGGCAGGTCGGCGACTGACGACCTAATGCCTCGGCACCGATCTCCGTGACGGCCACATGTCTGTGGCGCGTGTCTGCTAGCGGTGGCAACGAACTTGGAGAAGTGGTGGATTCGGTGTGAGGAGGCGTGAGTCTTTGGGAGTCAGGTGTGCTTCTTTGAGAGTCACGCCACTCCTTGCAGTGTTGGCTGGAGTGGCGTGCACAGAATGCATTTTGCTGTTGATATGGGGGAAGTTGTAGGGGGGTGGACTCCGTGAAGCCAGCAGCTCCAGTCGCCTGTGAGACCGTTGCGCCATTTGCCCGTGAGCCCGTTGCTCCTGTAGCCCGTGAGTCAGTTGCTCCAGCCGCTCGCTTAGCCGCGGAGCCAGTTACTCCAGTTGCCCATGTGCCAGTTGCTCCATTTGCCAGTATGCCAGTTGCTCCAGTTGCCCGTGTGCCAGCAGCTTCAGCCGCCATCCACCACCTCCTCTCCTCTCATGGTCCCTCCTCTTCACTTGCCCTCTCCTTCCTCCGCTGCTCCTGGTGTACTGCTTCAGGGGGTGTTGTGCACAAGGTTCTTCACTACAGGCAGTTAGGGGGTGTGTTAGAATATATTTATGTATTCTTTATAACTGTCTGTAGTGTAGACTGTTGTGTATCTCACTTGCTGTAGGTGGTGTACCATGTGGCTTTCTCTTTCCTATATCTTGTAACTTGCTCAATATTGAAACCACTTCTTCCTTCTCGATTTTCCTTGCCTAAACTCTCTCGACACTCAACCCTAGCATGGCTCCTATGCCTCCTAAGCCTAAACCTAGTTTCCTAGGTGCTTAGTGTTTTGACAGTATGGTGCGTGTTTGGGGCTGCATGCTGCAGTATATGGTGCCGCAGTCGCAGCGCGGGGGGAAGCTGGCGCCTAAGGCTCGCTGGGGGTTGCACTTGGGGGTGTCAGCAGCGAGCAAGGGCTGGCAAGTGCTGGACTTGGAGTCCAACCGCCTCATCACCACTGTGGAAGCAGTTTTCTATGAGACCATGTCCTTGGCAGGATGGAAGGCTTGGCATCAGCAGGAGCATGGGGGGCGTCCGATGCCCTATGAGCCCCTTCCTTCACTCTTCCCAGGCACTCTTGAGGAGGAGGTGGAGGAGGAGGAAGTGGTTGCACCTCCTGCGATGCCCTATGTCCCTACCTCAGTCCCCATCCCACCTCCTCCTACAGTGTACCCTCGTGTGGTTCCTCCTACCGCGCCTCCTCCATCCTCACCCCCCTTGGCTACCCCTCCTCCTCCTGTTATTCCCTCTCCTCTTCCACCCTCCATCCTTCCTGCACCTGCCCCACCCTCCTCTTCTTCTTCCACGGCGCCGCCCGATGGTGAGGGGGGGACAGTGGTGTCGCCGTCTGTGATGATCACCGACGGGCAGCGCCTTGTGACTAAGCAGCTGCAGAACGAGAGCAGCATGGATGGAGTGCAGCAGAGTGGGGGACAGGAGACAAGGGAGCAGCAGATAGGGGAGGAGCAGATTCGGGAGCAGCAGGCAGGGGAGCTGCAGACAGGGGAGCAGGAGATGTGGGGAATTAGAGATGGTGGTCGTGTGCTAGTTTCTGGGACGATCACTGCACCGCCGCTGCGTTGCTCCACTCGCATCACTCGTGGTGTCCCGCCAGTTAAGTATGCTTGGGCAGTAGTGATTGAGCCAGCAGGTTTGGATGATGAGGAGGAGGACGAGGAGTGGACGGACCTGGACCCAGATGTGGTGGCCGACCCTGAGAGGCAGTGGCATATAGCTAAGATGACAGTGAAGGAGGCCTTGGGCTGCTGGAAGGGCGACAAGATGAAGGAGGTGATGGACGAGGAGATGCGGAGCTTGATCGAGCAGAGGACGTGGGAGTTGGTTCGGCGTCCTCCAGGGGTGAATGTGATGAAGAACCGCTGGATTTTGAACACCAAGTTCCGACCGGATGGAATAGTGGAGCATGAGAAGGCGAGGCTGGTGGTGAAGGGGTTCACGCAGGTGGCAGGGGTGGACTATGATGAGACGTACGCCCCTGTGGGAAGCTATGTGACGGCGCGTGTGCTTCTGGCAATTGCAGCTGCACTCGATTTAGACCTGATGCAGCTGGATGTGAAGAACGCGTTCCTCCATGGCGTGCTGGACCGAGACCTTTACATGGAGCAGCCAAGCTAATACGAGGATGGGAGTCCTCGTGAAGAGTCTATATGGGCTCAAGCAGAGCCCGATGTTGTGGTATGAGGCCTTGGATGGGGTGCTGCTTGGGGCTGGATGGAAGAAGAGCCAAGTTGATGAGGCTCTCTACTTCAAGAGTGATGCTGAGGGGGAGATGTGCTGACTGCTGGTGTATGTGGATAATTTGCTTGCTGCCAGCCGCAGTCAGAGCATGCTAGGGGAGCTACGTGACCTGCTGCAGAGTGCCTTTCATCTGCGGGAGATTAGCCCTGTGGAGAAGTATCTGGGATTGCAGCTGGTTCGGAACAGGCCTACGAGGAGGCTGTGGCTGCACCAGGGGGCCTATGTGGACAAGGTCCATAGGCGATTCTTTGACGAGGAGCAGCCGCCGCGAGTGCCTTGCACCCCTCTTTCCTCTAACCTTTTCAGTGTGCAGACCTTCGAGGATGTGGGATGGCAGTCTCGCCAGGAGGAGGAGTACAGGCAGAAGGTGGGATCCTTGTAGTTCGCGGCCTGTACCACCCGTCCCGACATCTTGTTCGCCTGCAGCAAGTTGGGGTCGGGCCAGACTGTGCCGAGTGATCAGCACTGGAAGGAGTTGGACCGGTGCTTGGCGTACTTGGTGGGGAGCAGGGATGTGGCGCTGGAGTTTGGTGGTGGGCCGGAGTCCTTGGAGCTGATGGGCTACGCCGATGCTGATGATGCAGGGGACAAGCAAAACAGGACCAGCACTGGTGGCTATGTCTTCGTACTCGGGGGCGCTGCTGTCTCTTGGGCGAGTCAGAGGATTCGTTGCGCCACCCTCTCCTCTACTGAGTCTGAGTACGTTGCTGCTGTGGAGGCTAGAAAGGAGGCGCGCAGGCTGCGCTTCCTGCTCGCAGAATTTCAACTGCTGAAGAGTGAGGAGCCCACTACTCTCTTTGTGGATAACTCCTCCGCCATTACAGTGGCAGGTGGCATGGGGCTCAAGGGGAGCCTCAAGCACATGGAGCATCGCCACATGTGGCTACAGCACATGGTCAAGCGCAGGAAGCTGCAGCTGCAGTACATCCCTACGAGCGAGCAGCCGGCTGACTACCTTACCAAGGCGTTGCATTTCCCCGCCTTCAGCCGTTGGTTCGAGGCTGTGGGGCAGGTGAGGCTCTCAAGCGAGGGGAGTGAGACCTAGACACTCCATGATGGGGATGGTGCCATGGCCTATCCATGGCTGGTGCGGTGCGTGTTTGCACTTTGAGAGTGCTTCATTTGTGTCGGTGTCCCTTTGTTTTGGTGTGTATGTGTGTATGCATGCCCTGTGATTATAAAGGGCCTTGCTGTAGTATGGCAGGGGAGTGTTAGAGGGCCCTACGACAGCAAGGGCCCTCGCGAAGCGTTTGACTTGGCAGGTCGGCGACTAACGACCTAATGCCTCGGCACCGATCTCCGTGACGGTCACATGTCTGTGGCGCGTGACTGCTAGCGGTGGCAACGAACTTGGAGAAGTGGTGGATTCAGTGTGAGGAGGTGTGAGTCTTTGGGAGTTAGGTGTGCCTCTTTGAGAGTCACGCCACTCCTTGCAGTGTTGGCTGGAGTGGCGTGCACGGAATGCATTTCGCTGTTGAGTTGGATGGAAGTTCGGCGGGGCGCGTTCACCCACCCGCACACCACTTTGTGGGGTTGGGTTACACCAAAGCGCCACGCAACATTTGTGCAACTCTTACTTGCCTATATTTGCATGTGTGTTTGCTTTTGTATTGATGCATCATATTATATTTCTTGTGAAGTCCAATTTCTACTTGAATTCTCACTAAGTCCTTGGAGACGAACGCTACTGAAACGCTACCGAGTTGCTGGCGCAACACCATTCTCATATCCGAAACTCTCTCGCTACCGCTACGCTCTCCATAGTATTCCTTCAACTATACTATCGCCGGATTGGAGAGATGAATTTGGGATGGTACCAAAGTCAACTGTCAACTGTCAAGTTGGTAAAGCCGGCTAGCGCCACTAGATGGCTCTGAAGTGCCAAATAGACGATCGCCGTACAAGTTGTCGGAGAGAGACGGTCGGATCTAACAGGTGGCCGTCAATGTGTGGGAAAGCTATGGTTGCGATCGCAGATTCGAGTGTGAGACTTTGGTGGGATGTTATGATTTCGAATGATGAGGAGGTTTGATGAAACGCGACGACATTTATAGTACAAGGCCATTCGAAATGGCGTCGACGGCCGACGTCGAGTCGCGAACCTGCTCAGAAACGTGCTCCCGCGCGCCCCTGCCCGACAATGCCGCATCGGGGGAGACTGCTGCAGAGAGAGGGGAAAATAAAAAGGGAGGGAGGCAGCGACGCGAAAGGAGGTCCATGGAAACAGCTTCATAAAACACCCTCCCTGGAGTCGCACGCGCCTAAGTCAGGAATAACCTGACCCGGCCCGACAACGCTGTACAGTGCTGCTAGTCGCGAATAGGTAGTTCCCTCTGCTCAACCAACTCCCTTCATGCGGTGTAGGTCAACAAGGTATTTTCTGGCGAAGGCTCCTCCTCTGGCTGACATGCAAGCTAGCGAACGTCGCCACTGGTGGTGGTGAGTGCGACTTGT